GTCAGGGTGCACGACTGGGCGCTTCCAGCGCCCGCGCACCCCCTCACTGAGGCACCCCCAAACCCCAAACCTTCCTAAGACGTGAACCCTAAACCCGATGCCCCAAACCCTAAGCCCACGGCAGTCAGAGGATGAGGATGGCAGCTTCAACAAAGCACTTCAATGGATCGTGGAATACCGTGACCCTAAGGTGGGTTAGGGTTTAGGGTTCAGGGGTTTAGGGTTTGGGACGTAGGGCTTAGGGTTTAGGACCTACGGCTTAGGGTTTGGGGTTCAGGCGTTAGGGTTTAGGACGTAGGATGCTCCAGCCGCACTCCCCCCACCCGAAAATCAGGCTTAAACTTAAAGAAGCTGTAATGAATGTCGATCTGGGGCTCATGTAGGCCTTGTGTTCGGGGATGGGGCCGAATGACGGTCTGGGACTCATGTAGGCCTTGTTTTCGGGGCTGGGGGCTGTTCTCGTGGGAGTAGTATAGGATCCAATGAATGCCCGATTTGCAAACATGTAGAGGGTAAGGTTTAAGGAGATTACCCCAACTATGGAGGATCAAATACAAGAGCACATAGAAGATGAAATGGGTCCTGGGGCTTATATAGAGATTTATAGGGAGTGTAATGTTGAACTTGGTAGGTTGTCGAAATCTACATCCTGTTTCGGGTACCCTCAAAAGGATTGTGCCTGTGTAGACAACAAATCCCAACGAGCGGATGATAGTTACCAAGACAAAGGACCGGAATAAGATAATGCAGACCCCCAAATGCTATTATCCATCAAAGGTACACCTAATTTTGGGAAACCCTAGGCCCTAAACCCTATATATCCCTACATATACATATATATAAATTATATCCCCTATTTGAGAAACCCGCACTACATGTGGGGATTGTCGGCGTGGGATGCCATGACCGATGGGCTCAGGGACCACGGTCGAGAATTTGCAAGCCTGATATGGTAGTTTCCGAGAAAAAGTTTTTTTTTTTGGGTGGACCCCACAAGCAAGAGTATGTTGGGTCTGTTCGGGTTTTTGGGAAACGACCATATAACCCCTGCACCACCCTTTGTAGCCTTGTATATGCCCTACTAAATCCTTAAGCAATCCCGAAATGATCCTTATATGCCGGTACTCCCAAGTTTGTCGAGGTAACCATACATTTAGGTTTTTTTGGCAGGTAAACCTTAAACCCTAATGTAGGCCCGTAATTCATAAACCCCCTCCTTTTAAGGTCCCTAATATTAGGATCCCTTTTGTAGTCCCCATTAAAGGGAGAGGGTTTAATAATCATGGGTCTACTTTAAACTCTTAAACCGCATGAGCTCAATCTAGCCCTTTGAAAACTAAAGTAACTAAAGTCCGCCGGGTCCCGGGGTCCCAACTTGTTGACCCGAGAGTTTACCTGCATGTCCGTAGGGTTTGGGGCTTAGGGTTAGGGCTTGGGGTTTAGGGGTTTGGGGTTTTGAGGTTTAGGGGTGTTGGGTTTAGGGTTTAGAGTTGAGGGTTTGGGGTTTAGGATTTGGGGTGTAAGCACCTACAGTAGCCCCAATACCCCATATTCTTTTATTCTGCGTGGATCACCAGGCCAGAACCCTAAGCCTTGTAGTGGTTTTCACGGTATATTCCTTGATTTCATTCCCGATTCACCTAGGCGGGGAACGTCAAGTTGCAATCAGAGTTGCTCCGAGGATTGGGCTCAAGTCCCTAACCCCAACGCCCAAATCTGAAACCTGACAACCCACACCTTTTCAGGGTTCAGGATTTGGGGCTTAGGGTTCAGGGTTTGGGGTTCAGGGTTTAGGGTTTAGGGTGTGTATTCCAGGATCTAACAAGCCTGTAGAAATGCTGGATTCAAAAAGCCATCAAGGCTTCAATGCTAGCAGGAGAAAAGCCCAGATTGCATCCAGGTGATTGATATTTGCTAGTGTCTTATCATTCCTAGTACGCATATCTAAACCCCAAACGCTGAACCCTAAACCCTGAACCCTAAACCCTAAACCCTAAACCCTAAACCCTAAACCTTCCATCCTCAGGTGATCAGTCATCAGGTTGTGGCTCTCTTCTCCGACATCCTCTGGAATCGCTTAGCCAGGTGAGGTGTGGGGGTTTAGGGTTTAGGGTTTAGGGTTTCAGGTTTACGGCATGTAGGGGTTAAGTTTTGGGTCTAGACAGTTGGGAGTTGAGTTTTGCGGTGGACTTTGCTACCCCTTGGTTGAGGGTGTGTGGCTTTGGGTTCATGGTTTTGGGGGGTCCTGGGTGCTGCAGACTTTCTAGTTCATAGCATTCGAATGACGAAGTAAAGGTAAAAATGGAAGCGACACATGGAAATTTTCGCTGGTACCAGGGGGGGTTGTTCAAGACAAAGGCATTAAAGCCCCTGATCTTCTGGCCATGTTCACAAACATGTAGGCCTTTGTTAACAACATGGGCTTCCTGACCTACCGCGAAAGCTGCAGGCGTTTTCCGGACACCTGGAGAACTTGGAAGAGTACTACTGGTGGATCTTAAGTTGAGGCGATATCTACCCCAAAATAGCTAGCTCTTGGTTTTGCAATACCCGCACCTCTGAGATACAGGCATACTAGCACAAACTGTCAATAAGAATTGTCGATAGTGCTCGTAGAGACGTCGTAGTATTGCCGGAACTTGTAGCAACACAGCAACAGTACGAGGGCTAGCAGCAGGAATGGTGGTAGCAGTGAGGAATCGTAGCAGAAGTAGTGTGTGGCATGCTTGGGGAATAGTTGAGTCACCGCGACCAGGTACTACTTCGTCCTGGAGAGGCTCTACTTCTTACTGTGTTTGTGTCTCGGCCGAGGTAAGAATGGATCCAATAGCACCCCCGACATAATCCCCTATGTAAGTGGTGATTTCCATCTTCCTCCATTCCCTCCCTATGTAAAGCAAAGGAGCCTAGACCCATGCTAACTTGGGAGCCTAGATTCCGAGTTACACTGATAAACCATACTTGGAGGTCCAGGGTAGTTAAAACTGAAGTGGAAATATGACCCAACTCGTTGGGTTCCAAAAAGCAGATACCAACTGTGTCACGGTTACCTGTGACATGCCAGCTGGTCACAGAAGCCTTTGCTACATCATTTTCCGAGTGAGTCGCTTCAAAAATGCCAGGTTGTTAGCACTTCGCCCTAAACCTCAGGTTGCTGCTAGAGAGGCATAGCGAAACACTTTCCTAAACCCTAAACCCTGAACCCTAAACCCTAAACCCTGAACCATAAACCCTAAACCCTAAACCCTGAACCCTAATTATGTGAGGTGATAGGACATCATCTGGTCACAACCTTGGTCTGCCCCTGATCTGGGATACTACTCCCGGCCTAGGATCAGTGAGGGGCGCTCCTTAAAGGGCCACGGTGTTAATAGGGGCAATATTGGAGTTATATAGGGATAATGGAAAAGAAAATGGAAACTACTATTTAGTGTTTAGGGTTTAGATGGTGTAATGTAGGCTCATGATTAATAAACCCTCCTCGTAAGGGCCTAATTATTAGGATCCCTATTATAATCCCTATTAACGGGAGGGGGTTCAGGGTCTGGGTTAGTAATGGGGATAGCTGGGGTTACCATATGGCTTATAGGGTTCTTGGTATACTTGCTAAGTCTCCTTGACCCTCCGCGTAGGGACTGCACATGAACCTCATCTATCAATATTCTACTATAAACCCCCTACATAGCTGCTATATAGCCTTCATACATCCTATTTAACCCGTATGAGGTAACCCTAGGGGCTCTAGGTGTGTCTTTGCTGCGGGGCAAGCGTTCATGGGCGGAGACGTGGGCCGGCTGCCAAAGGACCATGGGATCGCGGGAGTGTTAGGAGTTAAAAGGGATTTTACTGGGAACCCCAAAGAGGGAACCCAAGAATATCGAAGGAATATGATGGAATATAACGACCCTGAGAGGTATAATCCTATTATATTCCTACTATATTCTTGGGGTTCCCTGTTTGGGGTTCCCACTCAAACCCTTTTAAGTTAGGGTTTGAGATTTAGGGTTCAGGTTTCAGCATTTCGGCTTAAAAGGATTAGGGCTTAAATTTAGGGGCACGTACTGCTTCATAGTAGGGAACGGACCCCTCCAGCAATAAGACTTCAAATAATCCCCAATTAACTAGTGGTTTCCATTTCCCTTCTTTCGTCATTCCATCCTAGCCAGTTGGATAAGCTCTTAGGGTTTAGGGGGTTTAGGGTTTAGGGGGTTTAGGGGGTTCATAAGGGACGGACGCAAGTTAGTTTGTTAGCCAGAAACAAACGTTTCCCGGAAACCTTTTGAATCTTCACTATTTGTCAGAGAGTAACCTTTCTGGGACACGTTAGTTTCGCCAAGCCGAACTAAGGTTTCCCGGAAAAGTTTGTTTCGTTAGAGGGAAACAAATCTTTTCCAGAAACCTTTCCTGGGGCGGAGAAACAAACGTTTCCCAGAAGCCTTTTGAATCTTTA